TTATTTCCAGCTCCACCATGTTCTCACTGTGAAAATGGCAAAGAAATCCCCTTGTGCTTCATTCTGGGAGAATGGAGAAAGTACTCATTTTGAGTTACACTCAGCTTTTTGTTGTTGGCATAGTCCGCCTTCAGGGAAAAAGACTGCCTGATTTCTCTGACTCAGGGGAAGGGCATTTGGATGGCTTGAGCCCCCTCTAGACTGCCTCTCTCATAAGAGGGGGGAAAGACCAAGAAACGTCAGAAGATCTCAGCCCAGGGACTCTAGCCCACTTAAAAAAAACAAAATATTTAATCATAAGATTATAAAATACTGCCTGTTTCTAATACCATGCCATCTGTAGGGCACCGGGATTACAATTAGATTATAGCTCTCAAAGCACTGTAAGGCTGACTATTTTAAGGAGTTTCTAGGGAAATCCAAAGATAAGAGGGAAGACTCAAACAAGGGCACTGGAGGAAATTGAAGCCTCTGACACCTATGACAGACATTAAATACAGCTCATTTACCAGCCAGATAAAGGTGAGGTCTAGTGCACAAAGTGGACACTGCCTGAAGAGCAATTAACAGGAAGAAGGCAGATTAAGAAGGCAGGGCTGGCAGGTGATGATGGGAGCTTGTGTAAGTTCTTTTCTGACTGCTTCTATTTGCAAGGTGATCAGCTGAGAGAAAAATTGGAAGTGGGATCGGATACTTGAGACTCTTCAAGGAGACCGAATGGAGTAGGAGATTACAGTGTGATTATTTGCCGGCTGGTGTTAAGGACACACCTGAGGTCAAATTACTGTTGTTTTACTACCTATTATTATATGACCTCTGTATTTTGTTATATGTCTTTTTTTTTTAAAGATTTATTTATTCATTTATTTTTTATTTACCCATTTATTTCTTCACCCACACAAGCACTGGGTACAGTCAGAAGCACAGGAGGGTGAGAGAATTCACCAGAGCCAGAGCAGGGAGCAGAGCAGGCAGAAGGACCGAGGTACACTGCTGAGGGGAGCAGCGGGCGGCAGGAGAGGTCTGCGCGCCATGTGGGACCCTCCTCCGGTGGCCGGGGAGCAGCCGGGGATAGAACTGGCGCTGCAGAGGCTGCGGGCAGCTTCGCAACCCAGCGCTCAACCGCTGCTCCACCGGGGAGGCCCTTGTTATATGTCTTACTGGAAATGTCTGCACACTTGAGTAGCATCTCATCACAATAAAGATTTTGGTTCTCAAGAAAGAGGCATCAAATTAGTAAAGTTAGAGCTCCTCAGTAGGCCAGTTGGCTAATCCATTATCATATACTACTGTTTCCCTTAGTTACTGAGTCCAATCACTATCTTGGGGGAAGGGGCTATCAAAAAAGAATGCCTTCTAGATATCAAGGCACTGATAGGGGTGGAATAGAGCAGTATTTAAATTCTAAAATATATGTCAGATGGTAAATTATTCTGGGAAAACAAGAGCAGGGTATGGGGGTTAGGGAATCAGGATTGCTACTTTATACTGGAGTGTCAAGGAAGTCTCTATTGACATTTGAGCAGAGACTGAAGGAAGAGAGTAATCACTCTCATATTCATTTCTATTTTATAAACATATTTAATAGAAGAGGTGACACCCTTGGCCCTCCCCGGTGGCACAGCAGTTGAGCTCTGGGTTGCGAAGCTGCCCGCAGACTCTGCAGCATCGGTTCGATCCCCGGCTGCTCCCCGGCCACCTGAGGAGGGTCCCACATGGCGCGCAGACCTCTCCTGCCGCCCGCTGCTCCCCTCAGCAGTGTATTTCGGTCCTTCTGCCTGCTCTGCTCCCCACTCTGGCTCTGGTGAATTCTCTCACCCTCCCGAGCTTCTGACTGTACCCAGTGCATGTACAAACAAACAAACAAACAAATAAATAAACATGCCTCTATAAAAAATAAAAAATGTAAAAAAAAAAAAAAAAAAAGAGGTGACACCCATTTATACCACCATGCTGCCACCTTTTCTAAATGTAATAAAACTTTAAACATACTCTATCTACTCCTCCTGAAAAACAACTCCATGTGTACTTAATATTACCCTTTTGACTATCAAACTTGGGGTCTTACAGATTCAACTTATTCCCTTTAGCTGATTTAGCATTTCCTTACTGATCAAATTGTCAGCATCCGCATTATGCTGGCTGTTTTGTCTTCTCAGTATTGCCTGGGACGTTTTTTAAAGCACTCTTGTTTTTTGGCATCAGGTATTCCAGGCCCATGGTGATCGCTGCACCCAAACATATTATTAGCTATCTCTAAGGAGCCCTGAAAAATAGCTGAGGCCCAGTCTGATCCACTTGGTGCCCATAAGCACTGGTTGCAGCAGGATGACACTGCCAAACACAGGCCTAGAAAAGACAAGTATTTTTAAGATCCCAAGTTCATACAGACACTTCATTTAGCTATCACCATGATATCCTTTTTCATTTCATTCTAATACTTTTTTTTAAATTTTTTTTTTTTTTTAAAGAGGCACGTATTTTATTTATTTGTTTGTTTGTTTATACATGCACTGGGTACAGAAAGAAGTGCGGGAGGGTGAGAGAATTCACCAGAGCCAGAGCCAGGAGCCGAGCAGGCAGAAGGACCGAAGTACACTGCTGAGGGGAGCAGCGGGCGGCAGGAGAGGTCTGTGAGCCATGTGGGACCCTCCTCCGGTGGCCGGGGAGCAGCCGGGGATTGAACCAGCGCCGTGGAGGTCGCGGGGAGCTTCACAACCCAGCGCTCAACCGCTGCGCCACCGGGGAGACCCTCATTCTAATACTTTTCTATAATATATCTGCTTAACATTTAAATCCTCCTTTAGTGGACATACAAAATGTGGTTTATCCATACAGTACTCTTCATCAACAAAAAGGAATGAACTACAGCTACAGGCTAAGTGGATGAATTTCAAAAATATGCTCAGTGAAAGAAACCTGACACAAAAGATGGCTGACATGTTGACTGTTTATATGAAATGCTCAGAAAAGGTAAATCTGTGGAGATAAAGTAAATCACCAGGCTGAGGTAGGAGCAGCAAGCTTTGGGGGCAAAAGTAGATTGTACTAAGGAACTGCAAAACTCCACAACTTAATAAAAATCATAGTTTATAGATTTTTATGGGCATCTTAAGTTCTAACTCAATAAAATTTAAAAATTAATTTTTCTTCCAACTTCTTGTATAACAGTCCTCCCTTTTTCGTGGGAGTATGTTCTAAGACGGATTCCCCTAGTAGTACCAGAGCCTGTATATAGTTTTTCCTATAGATATATACCTGTATTTATAAAAATTAATTTATAAATTAGGCACAATAAGACACTAACAACAATTATAATAAGTATGAATCTGGTCTCTGTCTCTCAAAATAGCTTATTGTGTCTCATATTTTGGAACACAATTGCTGGGAGCTGGGACCACAGAAAGCAACACCATGTCTGAGGGGAGGACTACTATACTTCAGTTGGTTATAATGATCCACAATGTCCATTTATATTTTGAGTTTAACTTTAAAAAAAAAAAAACCTTTTTACTTTTGATATTCCTCACCTTTTACTTTTGATATTCCTCCACTCACAAATTGTATTATTATTTTTTTAATAGGCATATCCTTGTCTGGATGCCAAACAGAGCAAGAACAGGAAACTTTGTTTCCCATCTGTTCATTCCTACCACTTTCACACAGGTGCTTCATTTTTACATTTTATTTCTCCCCTGGTGAAGAAGCAATCGATGGTTGCTATGATTGATTTCCTGCAGAGCTGTTGTGATGAATGTGACGCTTTGCTCACCAGCTTTTCCCCAAATATGTAAAGATATTATCAAGTCATGACTACTTTCTGACCTTGGGGATAGAGGTCCACAAATGATACATTTTAAAATATTGGATTTAATAGAAAATATCACATTGTAAACAAGTCCACTGATCAATTAGTTTAAAACAAAATGAGAGCCAATCACGTATAAAAGCTAAAGACAAAATGCTGGTACTACACAGCACTTAGAGGCTGAGCCAGGCTCTGAAGGATCTCTCCCAGAAATAGAGGCGACAGCAGCTTCAAACAGGCACAATGGAGGAGGAGGAGGCAGCATCTACTCCACGAAGGTTTACGAGAAAACAGGAAGGCAAACCAGTCAACTCATCTTCTGAACAAGGAGTGTATACAAAAGGGCTGTGTTTCCTGATACTCTAAGAACATCAGACAATGCCACGTGAATCTGAGAGGGTTAGCAGGGCAGGTATTTAAAGCAGAGAGAGGATGTTAGTCAACTTCAGAAGCATTAGGTCAGCTGACTTGGCACCAACTTGTAGGGAAGGAGGAGAATGTTGTCCTGTTGTGACTGAACTCATGAAAGAGTTGCTTATACTGGCCCCTCACCTTGACTGAATACAATGAAATTGCGGCAGTGTCAGTTGCCCCCATGGGCCTCCTTGTTAATGAGTGCATAAAAGAGAGATGCCACAGTGAGACCTTAGAACAAAAACACAGGACTCTGGTGGGAAAAGTGTTTCCGCCTTCTTCCCAGTGCTGGCGGGTCTCTGAGGAAGAGGAGTTTGACGTGGCTGGGCCCCTTGACGCTCAGAGTTCATCAGCAAAAGCCTCTCTTAGCCCCATCTATCCAGATCCTCCCCCAAGGAGTCCTCCAAGTTCATGGAAAGGCCAACTGAGCACAGGAGAAAAATAAAAAAAAAAGGACTGGGGAAAGAAAGTACTGAGTTTTCTTTCCATGGCACTTGTTACTGGCCAGAGGGACTGCTTATAGTAAACAGTGAGAGTGCTCCTTAATCTCGAACAGAAATTCTCAAGTAAGGGGCAGGCCTGCTCAAGAAGGGTTCTCAAGACTCTCCAAAGGTATTCTATCCAATACAAACAAGCCCTAACTCCCTCCCAGTTGAGAATCAGTGCATGTTAGGATAGAGATTTCTGGCAAGAGTGTGTTGTACACATGAACAGTGTCAGTGCAGCACAAAAGCTAAAAACCCCTAATCTGTGTGGGGCAGACATCAAAATTAGAGAGTACATTTTTCAGATTTTTCTTCTGATTAAGGGTAAGTTATAGTCATTCTCCCTATAGCTAAACTCCATGACAAGGCTCCAAGCTGCACAGCTAAGAGCAGGAAGTTCACTCATTTATCTGGAGTTAACATACTGGATTAAAGAAATACAATTCTGTCCTAAGACAAATTCCAGAAACACCTGCCTCTCCCAGTGAGGTACTTAACACTAGGATTAGCACAGGCTAATCACTGTATGGTTTCTTAGAAGACTGGATTTTCTGTGTTTCTTTCTCTTTGATACTATACAAGGGGTCCACCAATTTGTTATGAACCAGCATTAAACCTACAAAAATTTAAAAAGAAAAATAGTTAATGCAGATAGAAGCACAATTCCACAAATCATCAATAACAATCAGAAGTGCTCTAGGATGAATTTTATCTAAGAGTTGATTCCTATCATCGTTTCTCTGTGGCCCCCAAATAATAAACACCCTAAAAATAGGAAAATAATTTGTTATTCCTAATGCTAGAATGCGAGGGCGTTTTGTAAATTTAATCTCTAGGGGGGGTCGGGTATGAAAACTTTTTTAGCAAAGAATTCCTAATTTGTCAGAAAATGAGGATTTTCACATAAGTTTGTTTAAACTTTAAGTAAAGGGGGAAAAAGTCCTCAAGAGAGTTAGTACCATGCTTAGAGGGGGAAAGGCTCATATAAGATCTGGAAAGATACCACAACCACCCCGCCTAGGTCAGTATCACTGCAAGGAGATGACCTTGGACTATAACTTTTCATTTTCTTTCCTCCTCCTCAGAACAAAGAGGTCTCTAGAAATGAACTCTTGCAGTCATGGATAGAAGAGCAATGACTGTGTATTCTGATTTTTTTTTTTTGATTTTTTTTAAAATCAGAGCTGTCTATTAAAATGGCCAGGGTATGAAAACTAGCTCCACTCTTCACTCCTAGCACACCCTGAACTTGGCCACTCCAGACCCACCCTTCCCTCACCTTTGAAATACTTGACAGTCTTCACTTTCAGCTCCAGGGTGGCATCCTCATCACATACAAACACCGTGCGGGGATGCTGCTGGAAGGCAGACACTGTCCACATGTGGTTCACTCCCTCCTCAATGGCCTTGTACAGAGCAAATGCCTTGTGAGCACCTGTGATGAGGATCATTACCTGGGAATCAAAAGCAAACCAGTGATGGAGGAGGAGCTGCAGAACCGTGAGTCCAGAGATCTGAATTCTAGTCACCCCTAAAAGGCTGTAAGGACTACATTTTTAATATAGCAGTTTCAATCATTAGTATGTTATACTCCGTGCGCCTCACTCCATGTGCTTTATCACACAAATAACCTGAGGAAGGAGGCAACATTATCCTCATGTTCTGTGTAAAGGAAACGGGCTATGTAACTTGCCCCAGGTCATTTCTGACCCACAATCCATGCTCTTGTCCACCAGGTGCCTCTGGCATCTTCGATGATGACTGAAAGTGCTGGTAAACAGACTGCCATACAAGGGCCACCCCTCTTATCCCACCAGTTCTGACACTGGGTCGCAGGGGAGTCCTAGGCTGAGGGAATTTTCACAATCACAGCCTGAAAAAGTAGGCTCTCAATCTGTACCACCTAAAAGGGGGCCTTGGAAGCTGTGGTGACAGTTATCTGTTTGGCTCCTAACGTTGAATTCCAGCAGAGCTGGCTTTTAATTTGGTCACTTTCAGTCTACAGTATTAAACCTACTGAACTGATTTGGGAAATGATTTTTGTTTACATAAAACAAAAGTATAGACTCCCTTCAATAGCTAAGATATGAAGAACGAAAATAATGGAAAATGAATGTAAAGAACTCAGCTCAAAAGATTTCTTTCATTGTAATTCACTTGTATCATGGAGTTGGGAACAGGATTTGCTGTTTTCTTTCTTTTTTTTTTTTAGAGGCATGTTTGTTTGTTTATTTATTTGTTTGTTTTGTTTATACATGCACTGGGTACAGTCAGAAGCGCGGGAGGGTGAGAGAATTCACCAGAGCCAGAGCGGGGAGCAGAGCAGGCAGAAGGACCGAAGTACACTGCTGAGGGGAGCAGCGGGTGGCAGGAGAGGTCTGCGTGCCATGTGGGACCCTCCTCTGGTGGCCGGGGAGCAGCCGGGGATCGAACTGGCGCCGCAGAGGCCGCTGGCAGCTTCGCAACCCAGAGCTCAACCGCTGCGCCACTGGGGAGGCCCAGGATTTGCTGTTTTCTTAAAAGACGAACAAATGGGCATAGAGATGCAATTCTGTGTTTAGGGCCCCAGAACTCATTTTAGAAAAGAGAATTTCCTAGGGCAGGAGGCAGGGGGAGGAGAAAAAAGAGAAGGGAATTTCCTGATTTCCAGCTCCAAGTCCTATCTCACATCAAAATACTCTCACATGACAGGTAGGTACTTCAACTCTAGTATTTTTCAAAGCTATAAAGTCAAAAACAGTAGTGTGATCTTCCATGGTACTGAATCAAGGTGACCCAACAGAAATCTCAGTGCCATCACTTACGTCACAAAAGTTCATTTTGGACAGGGAACCTTTTTCACTGATTTAAGACTTTGTTTATAGACTTGGGCAAAGAAATGTGAAACTAAAATGTCTGTAGCTGTTTCCAATTGAATATACCCCAGAAAGGAAGAGAAATATGTTTCTAAAACTCCGAAGAAAATTGGAACAACAAAAAATTCAAATGATACCCAATTTTCAAGGGGAAAATTCAAGATTTATATTTCACTGACACTTCTCCACAGTTATTAATCCCTGAGCAGTGTCCTTCACCAATAATAGGCAACCAGCTTCATATTCTGACATTAGTGATAAACTTTCTGCCCAAGAAGCTTGAAAAATGTAAATAATCAGAAACTAGAGAGCCTCTGCCTCCCTGGGTAGGTAAGGATTTCCCTCACACTGGGAAAAATATTTCTGAAGAGGAAAGAGGGACAGTGATAGTAGGGATTTTAGTCTTATTTGTTGCACATACATTACAATGTCTTCGTTTTTAATACAAACGCATTCAGGTGGTACCTAGGTAGTTAAAATTAGTAACAAAACACCAAGTCCAACTCCCCAGTGAAGGCCTGTGTACCCCATGCACCCTTACCTCTCTAGCATCCATGACAGTGCCCACACCCACTGTCAGGGCCATGGTGGGCACCTTGGCAAGATCTCCATCGAAGAATCTAGCATTGGCCAATATGGTGTCCATGGCCAGCGTCTTTACACGGGTCCTAGACACCAGACTGGACCCAGGCTCATTGAAGGCAATATGTCCATCGGGACCGATACCTGCCCAGAAGAGACAGCCACAGTATACCCCTGTCAGCCCCAGGGATCCAAGATTTCTAGAATGTACAATCTTTCCTTCCCCACCTAGAATATGATAAAGTCCTTGAAAAATGCTTCTCCTTTCTCATTCACCCCCAGGCAGGTACACTATATGTGACACATACAAATGTCGTTGACTTGCTACAACACTCAAAACTAAGCAAGTACTCCAAATAGCTTTTGCCTTCCCAGATCATCCAAGTGTAAATTCTCTTTCTTGCCAAAAGCCATAAAGTTGCAGGCATCAAGTTGTGGCTAATAAAATCTAACACAGGGCCTAGATAAGGGCTGCCAAGTTTATAAAATCTCAGAACATAAGCATTTCCCACCCTGAAGCAAAGAAGAGTTAAACCTACAACAGTGAAAGGGCAGCCCAACTTCCCATATCTGTGGGTGACTCCAGAAGTGGTGACAGATGGAAACATGAGAGGACAGCCCAGGGCAGGGCGCAAACCCGAGACCCAGACACCTTAGGTCCCCACATTTGCTCTGCTGCTCCTGGCCAACTGACCTTGGGCAAATTAAAAAATCTTCCCTAGGGTTCAACTGCCTGTCTACCATGTGCAGGGGTCGAGTGGGGAATCTTCTAGAACTACAAAAGTGTAATTTTAAATGTTAGATTAAGGCCCATGATTGCTCTATAAAAGTCAAAACTAGGTAACAGAATCTCACAGTTCAAATCCAAACCTCTCAATTTCTAGACGAAGTATTGAAGTGCAGGAAAAAAGAGATATTGAGATCACATAGCTACTGATCAGAGCCAGGCTAGGGAGCTCGGGTTCCCACTCTGCTTTCGCTGCCTCTTCGGTGTCAAGGACCCAGTGTCACATGCACAGAGAGAGAAAGCTGTTGGGGGACAGGCCACTCTGTGTCCTAACCAGCCTGGGTCTCCTGTCAAGCTCACCTCCAACAAACAGCTCAATCCCTCCCGCAGCCTTGATCTTCTCTTCAAAGGCATCACACTCAGCCTGTAGGTCAGTTGCATTTCCATCCAGAATGTGGGTGTTTTCTGGGTGGATATCAATGTGCTTGAAGAAATTGTTCCACATGAAGGAGTGGTAGCTCTCGGGGTGGTCTCGAGGAAGGCCTGTAGGAACATGGCCAAGGTCAGTCATGCCCAGGCTGAGCCAGGACCCCCCTCCCATGCCCTTTAGCCACAGAAAAACTCATGGGTGTGCCCATCAGGGAGCCTTCAACACCAGACCCCTGGCCTCAGCCACTCAAAATAGGCTAAGCTTCTGTCCCTCGGTGTCTGCCCATCACCACCTGTAATCATGGGGCTGGATGGAGTAGACACACACCTAGGGGCTGAGGAATTCCCTCATTCTGATCTCCTTTCTCAAAGGAATGACCGTAGGCTAGAGAAAGGTAACTTTGGGCATCTGGAGATGGCCTAGTCACCTGGGGTCGTAGAGCTAGACCCATCTTGGAAAGGAAATAAGCACACCCCTCAACCCATGCCTCCTACCCTAACATTCACCCGTTATTCCTCTCTCAGCTTGAATCCCAACTTGAACACCATGTGGTTGGAGAGAATTTTCTCAGGGCTTTCTCAAAAGGATTTTTTTCAGTCAAGAAGAATGTTTAAAGTGAATGCTTAAAGTTAAACATTGAGAATGTTTAAATTCAGCTTAAAAAGGAACTTCTGACACATGCTACCACATGGATGAACCTTGAGGACACTGTTAATGACACAAGCCAATCACATAAAGACAAATTTAATATGATTCCATGTGTCTGAGGTATCGAGAGTAATTAAATTTATAGAATCAGTAAAATGGTGGTTGCCAGGGTTGGAGGACTAGGGAACGGGGAGCTGGCTGGCTTTAGCGTTTCAGTTTTGTAAGATGAAATGAGTTCTGAAGGTTGGTTGCACAACAATCTGAATGTACTTAGCACTACTGAACTGTACATGTAAAAATAGTTAACATGGTAAATCTTATGTGTATTTTACCATAATTAAAAAAAATGCTGAATATAAAAGTCATTATAAAATGACAGAGGGGAGTGGGGAAGGTGACAGAAGAGCAAGTTATAGCTTTTCAGCAGTGGAAAGGACACCAGTTTCAGCTCCTCGCCTGATGCACCTGGCAGAAAGGGCAGCTGGATGTGGAAGGAACACTGGAGAGACAGTCCAGACACAGACACTGAGGGAGACACCCATTGCAATCACTTGTTTCAGAAACAGCCAGCACAGATTTGGGGAAGAGGCAGAGGTGAAAGAGATACTCCAATATTTATTAAGTGTTAGATTTGTACTAGAGGCATCCATATTTGTTATTTAACGCTTACAACTTCTGAGGTCAGTTTTATTAGCCCCATTTGACAGCTGAGTAAACCAAGGCCTGGAAGGTAGCTATCACTAATTAAGTACTGACACCCTGAATGCCCCCATTCTTCTCCAGGGCCCAGCCTGTGAAGACCTGCTGGAATCAGGTAAGGCTCTTGAAAAAGACTCACCCACATACTCATCCATGTTGAAGGTCTTCACATATTTGAAGGACAAGTCTCCATTCTTATAATACTCAATCAACTTCTTGTAGCAGCCCAGTGGGGTGCTCCCTGCAAGAAAAACCACAGCCATGAACACCCTTCAGTCCTCAGTTCCTAGAAGCCCAGAGGGCAGCCAGGAAGGAGTCAAAGCTGATCCACGAGTAGAATCTGTCAGATCTGAAGTCCTACACACCTACACAATGCTCTAGTTCTAACTGCCACTCATTCACTGTGGCATTTGTCCATTTCCCCCAGACTATATGCTTCAGGAGGGCAGGGCTGGGTTTGTCTTGCTCACTGATGAGTCCCCAGTACCCAGCACACTGAAGATTGATATGACTGATGACTACCTCAGTGAAGAGCAGAGTGAATTATTGATATCATAGTCCCTGAGCAACTACGTGCATCCCCGTGATGGGGATGCAGAGGAGCGTAAGAACTGGCAGAAACCCTCAAAGAGCTCACTGGCCAGGTGTGGGGATGATGGAGCAGACATGTCAGATGTGATAGGTAAGCACAGGATAGCCTGAGGGCTCAGGGAAAACTACCCAGAGGAGCAGCAAACTCCCTGGTTGAGTCTCATTAAAAAGTAAATGTCATAAAACTTTTTTTCATGTGGGAGTCAGGTAGTTAGAAATGAAGCTTTATTGCAGGTTAAAGTACTCAAGAGTGAGTATGGGCAGATTCACAGAAGACTCACCATTAAACTCACTTAAAAGGTATGGGGCCCTCCCTGGTAATGCAAGGGGTTAAGTCTCAGCACTATGAAGCTATTGGCAGCCACTGAGTTTGATCCCTGGCCAGAGAGCTAACCACATGGCACAGCAGACCTCTCCTGTGTCGCCCACCTCTCCTCTCAGCAGTGTATTTCAGCAGATCCACCTGTTCTGCACCCCACTTTGTCTCTGGTGAATCTTCTCATGCCCCAGCACCTCTGACCTACACCCCAGCTCTTGCATGCATAAATAAATCTTAAAAAAACAGGGCCTCCCTAGTGGCGCAGTGGGTTGAGCGCCACACTGTGAAGCTGTCTGCAGCCTCTGCAGTGCAGTTTTGATACCGGCCAGCCGGCGAGAATCCCACATGGCGAAGCAGACTTCTCCTGTCTCACCCACTGCTCCCCTCAGCAGTGTATTTCGTCAATCTTCCCATTCTGTCTCTGGTGAATCCTCTCACTCTCCCACACCTCTGGCCTGTACCCCAGCTCTTGTATTAAAAAACAAGCAAACAAAAAAAACACTTAAAAGGTAGGAGGACTGCTATAGATTGAAAAACCCAATATGCATGAAGTCTGGACACTGGATTATTTAAAAACAATAGAAGATAAATGTTGATAATCGGAAAGATTTTAGACTGTATATTAGATAATATTGTGGAATGATTCTTTTTTTTTTTTTTAAAGATTTATTTATTTATTTATTTATTTATACAGCACTGGGTACAGTCAGAAGTGCGGGAGGGTGAGAGAATTCACCAGAGCCAGAGCGGGGAGCAGAGCAGGCAGAAGGACCGAAGTACACTGCTGAGGGGAGCAGCGGGCGGCAAGAGAGGTCTGCGTGCCATGCGGGACTCTCCTGCCGGGGAGCAGCCGGGGATTGATTGAACAGGCGCTGCAGAGGCTGCAGGCCACTTCACAACCCAGCGCTCAACCACTGTGCCACTGGGGAGGCCCTGTGGGATGATTCTTAATTTTCTTATGATGACAATGGTATTGTGGTTATGTTCTTAGTCTGAGGATATATGTGCTGTAGGATTTAGAGGTTAAAATGGCAGGATGTCTGGAACTTACTTTCAAGTGGTTCCTATAAAGTGTATCTGTGTGTAGATAGAACATGGGCCAGAAGCAATGAAGTCAAATATGGCAAAATGTTAACAGTCAATCTAAGTAAATGGTACTATTTTTTTTTTAAGCTTTTCTAAATATTTTAGAATTTTCAAAATAAAAAGATGGAAAGAAGTCCTACCCAAATCAGGTCACTCTTCCCACAACCCACCAATGGTTTCTCATTTCAGTCTGAGTAATAACCAGTTTAACTAAGGTTCTAGATAAGCTGGCCACCTCTCTCCCTCTTAGTCATCCTACTCCAAGCAATTCCACCTCAGGGCCTTTGTGTATGCTATGTCCTTTGCCAGCCAAGCTCTTCCTGTAGTTATCTGCATGGCTAACTCTTATCTCTTTAGGCCTTCACTTAAACTTTCTCACAGAGAAATTCCTTGCCACCAAACCCAACATTGCGGACCCCAGCCTAGATAGATAACTCCCTATTTCCCCCCTTTCCCTGCTTCATTTTTCTCCTCTCATCACCATCCAATATACTCTTTATTTTGCTAATTAATTTTTTATCTGTCTCACTACAATTTAAGCTTCAAGGAGACAGGAATTTATGTCCTCCTTGCTCATTGCTGTATCTCCAGCTCCCAGAACAGCTTGGCATATTGCAGGCATTTAATAAGTATCTGCTAAATAAATGAGAGTGGCAGCTCCCCCTGCCTCAAACCAAAATAAACAGCCTGTCCCTGCAACTATGCCCAAGACACACATCTTCCCTGTCCTTCCCTTGAGCTACATGTCCATTTTCCAAACTTCTAGGCTTCCCATCAATTCTGTGAGCTCCCTTTTATCTAGCAAATAAACTCCTTTTCTGTTTAAGTTAGCTGAGGTTGGTTTTTATGGATTCCACCCAGAACCTTGCTCTTCATCTAACAGAGGGAATGTTCCACGGGACCCATATGGAAATGCTGTGGTAGCTCATGTGTGACAGTCAGGAAAGGACCGGGCCTTACTGGGCTCTTTATGCTACTCTGTGGAGTTTGGATCTGACTCTGCAGGTGGCAGGAACTAGGGAGGAGCTGCAAAAGAAGGCCCAGACTCTGCCCCAGGTGAAGGCTCGGTCATTCCACAGTTAGAAAACAGTACGTTAGAAGCATAGGTGGTGTCATAGGTACATGCAGAAACTGCTCCCATAAATCTCTAGGGCAGAGATCTTTAGCCCACAGCCAAATTTTGTGTGCCGTCTGCTTTTGTACAATTCATGAATTAAGAATAGTTTTTATACTCTGAAAGTTCTTAAAAATCAAAAGAATATTTTGTGGCATGTGAGAATTATAAATTCAAACTTTACATGCCTAAATAAAGTTTTATTGATATATGGCCAGATTCATTTATGCATTGTCTGTGGCTGCTTTCAAGCTATACGATCAATGTAGTTGCAACAGAGGCTGTTGGACAGTGAAGTATAAAATATGTACTATTTGTTCATTTACAGAAAATTTTAAGACCTCTGTTCTAGTGGATGGGTCTTTGGGGCAAATCTACCCTACTTTTTAAAGAAATAAGCAGGACATTTGCTTGTGGAGCTGTAGTCCTGTGGGCCCTGTGTTTAAGTCTTACAGAAAATGCTCTGAATGACTATTTTCTCAATTCTCCCAAAGATGGTATCCAGCTAGTAGCTTCTGATTTCACTATATAAAATGTATACCTTAAGGCATTAGGACTAAAGGCTAACTTAGGAGCCTAAAAATCAAGTTCTTCCTAGCTAATCAGGCCCTTTTGCTCCAGGACTCTTCATAAGTAGGCAGCAACTAAGCCCATAAAGTAAGCTGGATGCTCTGTCTTGTATGACCATGGGCAGGGGAGTTATTCACTCATAGCACCAGTACCTCAAACCTTCCTTGAAATCTCTTGGTTGAGTGAGTCCTCGTACCTGACCCTTTAAAAACCCGTTAATACCCGTTCGCCTTTCCATGCCCCATCCCAGAACGTACCAGTGGGGAGCCCCAGAGTGAAGTACTTGTCTGGTCCTGGGTTAAACTGGATGATGCGGTTTCTGATGTATTTGGCCGCCCACTCGCTGGCCTGAGAATAGTGGTCCAGGATGATGAGCTTCATCTTGTCCTGCAAAGGGGGAAGGAGGTCAGGGAACAAAAGGAATAGGTGGTAAGGGCCAGGGAGATAGGAGTGGAGTTGGCTGTGGTGGAGAAGAGAAGCCCCTCTCACCGGCAACACCCACTCCCCAGGCAGTCTGAGCCAGGAAGAGGAAGGGCTTAAGTTTCAGTTCACAAAATTAACAGACTGGGCAAATGCTTTCTCCGCCCACCAGGAGGCGCTGCTGTGAGACAGACCTGGGTTCTAATCTCCAGTCCTCCTCCATTTACCGAAGGCAGGACCTTGGTCAAAGAACCCAAGGAAGTTCCTTGAGCCGGTCTCCTCTCATGTGAAAGGAGGGAAAGTAACACCTACCTGAAAATTTTCACGAGTTAGTATTAAAGAATGCATGTAAATCACAAAATCCTCAATATATCAGCTACAGTCTTGTAGCCCACCCCAGCCCACCTTCCCCACCCACCTACCGCTACTCGGCTGGATAATCTCTGCCCACTGACCCCCTCAGTAAACACAGGGGCCCTGGGCTCTTCCTGAGTCACAAGCGCGGTGGAGGCCAAGGGCTCTGCCTGGAAAGTTGTTTGTTCTCAGTACTGGGGAGGGGTGCTCCCACCGGCAGGCCTTGCTTTATGCCTCCTCAGTTTCCCCCCAAAGGACGCGGAATAATGGTAATCAGGAAGGAGGGCATTTGCGCCCCCAGTGCCAAGATCAGAGTGGGAAGGCCCGAAGCGGAGGTGGCTGGTTCCACCGTCCGTGGGGTACACAGGCGTGTCTCCCACCTGGATGGCGATCCCGTGGCCCCTCCGGCGCCGCCTGGGGAAGGGATCCGAGCGGCTCGCTGGGGCTCCGGTCACGCAGTGCGGGAAGCTGAGGAAGCGCCCCGACCCCCGGCCGCGAGGAGGGTCCCCGCCAGCCCCGCTCCCCACTTACGCCGACACCTCCCGCGGCGACTGCTGCGAAGGCTCGGGCGGCCCCGCCCCTCCGGGTCACGTGGCGGCGGGTCACGCGCGCGCGCCGCCGGCGGGGCTGACGGGGCCGGGCGGGGCTGACTGGGCGGGGCCGGGCGGCGGCCGGAGGGCGGACTCTGCCCCGCCTGGGGCCACCGGCCGGGCTCGGCTCCCGAGCCCGCAGGCGGGCGAAGACCGCTGGGAGGCGGGCCTGACAGACTGGTTCTGTGGCGGAGGAGGGAGTCTCGGCGGCCTCGAGCCGCTCCCTGGAATGCTGCCCCCAGGCCCGGCCTTTACTGCTGGAGGTGGAGTCTCAGGGCTTGAGCCCGGCTCTGCCTTCAGGGTCTTTATATTGCTTTTTCTTTATATTTTCAGCTGCCATTCATGTGCCTAGAGATACTGCGTATTTTTTGGTTTTAAGTCTAATTGGATTTTTTTCCTGCCTTTTTTAAAAAAGAACGACCTGTGCAGCAATAGATATTAGAGAAGGTAGGTGGTGTTCTCCCCAGCTCCCCTCCAAGATAATGAGCGTTGTGAACAGTTTAGACCACACTTCAGTTTTCCCTTGAATATCTTACATTATTATTTTACAGACGAAAGGGGAACATAACACACCTGCCTTCCACAGGCAGTTGTGTAGACGCTTTCTGCGGACAGCCCCGGCCCAACTGCCGCCCAGGCACCTGGATAGATAGAGGTGGGCATCATCTGGCGGGACCCAGGTGAGACCCGGTGCTAGAGCTAATACTGTCACAGTTGTTTGAAGGACTTGTTTTTGGCTTCCCTGTTGGTGTAGTTTATTATTTTTTTTTTAAGATTTATTTATGCACACAAGAGCTGGGGTTACAGGCCAGAGATGTGGGGGGCGTGAGAGGATTTACCAGAGACAGAGTGGGGAACAAAACAGGCAAATCGACCAAAGTACACTGCTGAGGGGAGCAGCGGGTGAGTCAGGAGAGGTCTGCTGCGCCATGTGGGTTGCTCCCTGGCCTGCCACGGATCGAACTCGTGCTGCAGAGGCTGCAGATTGCTTCATAGTGCGGTGCTTACCCCCTTGTGCCACCAGAGAAGCCCTATTTTTAATTATTGTTATTTCAGTCAGAAATCTCATCTCAGCATGAGGATTGCAGATGTTTCCCAAAGAAGTCCCAACCCCTGTCTCCAAACACATCAGATAAGGTGGTCTGTAGCAACTGCCTTCAGACCTTTCCAGGAACAGTGACTGCATGTGACTTTAATTGCTCCTGTTTCCCCAGAGCTCACCTTTCTGTAGGGGACCAATGCTGGGCGTCTGTGCAGCCTGAGGACTAATCAGGATGACCTCGCTTTGAATTCTAGTAACCTAGCCAGTCTCCTGTTGTTGAGTGACGAGTGACTCAAGCAACCGACTCAATTTTTCCAGCTCCAGCTTTCTTGTCTGGAAGAGCTTGAGAATTGTGTGGAAATTAAGTGATACCTAATAGGGGTGTTGTGAGTGTGAAATGAAATATTAGCAACATATGCCATTCATGGCCAGCCATGACTGCTCCTAATCTTCTAGTATTCTCCCTGTTTGACTCCAAAATGCTCTCTACCTAACTTTCTGCCCCTCCCTCCCCACCCCCATTCTGGGTTTAACCCGTTACCTGCATCCATTCTTCCATCCTCTTGTTTTGGACCTAAAGTTGCCTAACGAAAGGACTTGTGAGTTCCTACAGTGGGACCCTCTGCAGTTCTTGTATGGATAGATGGTTTTGTTCTATTATGTCTTTGCTTACAGCAAATGTCTGTCCCCATGTGCAGAAAGAGCTGCTCAGTCCCTGGGGATCATGTGATTTGGTGGAGCTAGCCCTATCTTTTGACCTGGAAGCTAACTTCCATTTGCCTGGACATGATTGACTTAGGACTGGATAGACATGAAATATACTTACCCAAGTTATTCACAGCTTTCTCCTTACTGCTTCTGCTGTAGAAACTGGAAAATCTGCTTTCCCAGCTTCTCTCACCTCAGGGGTGACCAGGTCATCTAGTTCTGGCTAGTGGAGGAAAAGGATGATTTCTGAGAAGATAGTTTACTTTTTGAGAAAAATGACATACTTTAGAAACAAACTATCTCTTCCTGTCCTTTCCTTCCTGCCTTGGGGGACATGTGATGCCTACTCTAGGGAAGCCACATATAAATGTGAGGCAACATGAATACAGCATTATGGAGCATGAATATGCCTTGAATGTGAAGTGGAGGACAGAAGGGACTTAAGTCCTTGATATTTAACCAGTCACGGGCCTCATACTTCTGGGTTTCTTCCAAGTAAATAATAAATATTCTTTTTTTTTTTTTTTTTAAATAGAGGCATGTTTTATTTATTTATTTATTTGTTTGTTTGTTCGTTTATACATGCAGTGGGTACAGTCAGAAGCACGGGAGGGTGAGAGAATTCACCAGAGCCAGAGCAGGGAGCAGAGCAGGCAGAAGGACCGAAGTACACTGCTGAGGGGAGCAGAGGGCGTCAGGAGAGGTCTGCACGCCATGTGGGACCCTCCTCCGGTGGCTGGGGAGCAGCCGGGGATCGAACCGTCGCGGCAGAGGCCGCGGGCAGCCTCGCAACCCAGCGCTCAACCGCTGCGCCACCGGGGAAGCCCAATATTCTTAACTTTAAGGGACTGTTAAGGATTTTCTGTGACTTGAAGTTAAAAACATGACTCAGTGTTCAAGGCAGGTGAGTCAGGTCTTTCTCAGATTTTATGCAGGTATATTTGGGATATACATTTTTTCCGACTGAAATCTCACCTGTAAAACCTCGGGAGGCTTACAGCTGCCAGTGAGAAAAGTAGAACAAATAGAAAATAGAGTCCTGGGTCTCCCCAGTGGCGCAGCGGTTGAGCGCTGGGTTGCGAAACTGCCCGCAGCCTCTGCAGCACGGGTTGGATCCCTGGCTGTTCTCCGGCCCCGGAGGAGGGTCCCACATGGCGCGCAGACCTCTCCTGCCGCCCGCTGCTCCCCTCATCAGTGTACTTGGGTCCTTCTGCCTGCTCTGCTCCCCGCTCTGGCTCTGGTGAATTCTCTCACCCTCTCGTGCTTCTGACTGTACCCAGTGCTTGTATAAATTAAAAAAAAAAAAAATAGAGCCCTGGTGATATCATTTAACCACTCAGATCGAGCCATGTCTAAAGCCAGATGTACACTGTTGGCTTAACAGCAGGGTGAATGAATGAATACATACATAAATTGAAATTGTTCCCTCCCTCCTAGGGCTAGAGGAAATTCTGAAAGAATACTTAGTTACCTATCGCTATATAATAGATACCCCAAAACTTAAAAGTTGAAAACAATAATTGCAATAAGGACTAAAAAGACATGTGCTAAGACATGTGAAAATATAAGAGGAAACTTCAGTATGTATATATTGTGATATTCCAACTATATGATGTCTTAGAAAAAGCAAAACTAGAGAGACAGTGTTGCCAGGTCTTAGGAGGGAGGGAGGGATAAATAGAGCACAGGATTTCTGGGGCAGTGAAACTATTCTGTATGGTACTATAAAGTAGGTAGATATATGACATACTTTTGTCTAAACCCATGGAATGTACAGGAGTGAACTGTAATGTAAAATGTTGAGGTGGGATCATCAGTTATAACAAATATACCACTCTGGTGGCAGAGAGTGATAATGGGGGAGAGCTCTGCATGTGTGACGAAATTCCTAGAATCATTTACTCATGTTTAGAAGTCAATACTGGCTGTGACTCGTATATGATGTCTCCTAACATGGTGGCCAGTTTTCAAGGGCAAACCTGTCAAGAGTATTTATTATTTACTTGGAAGACCAGAATTATGAGGCCCGTGACTGATCAAATATCAAGGACATAAGTTCTTTCTATCCTCCACTATTCAAGAGCCAAAGATGGGCTGAAGAGGTATCCTCTTGAGATTACATATATATATAGATATATATAAAAAATATAAAACTTAGCCTCAGATATATATAACTTAGCCTCTTGAGATATATATCTATATATCTAGCTATCTATATATATAAATTAGCCTCAGATATGTATAACTTAGCCTCTTGATATATATATATATATATATATATATATATATATATATATAACTTAGCCTCAGAAGTCACATAGCACCACTTCTGCTGAATTCTGTATTAAGGTCATCACAAGCTCCTACCAAGATTTAAAATGAGAGAACACAGACCCCATCTCTTTGTGTAAGGAGTGTCAGTAACATTAGGAGAAGATAGAATATGGTATGTGATAGAATAAAGATGTAACTATGGCCATCTTTACACAATACAGTCTGCCACAGACATTCAGTAAACTGAAATTAGGATTTAATCCTCTTAATCATTTACATACTCAGTGCCAGCCACTGTTTTACAAGCCTTGTTTCATTGACTCTTCATAATAGTCTTTGAAGTAGATGCTAAATTTTATCTCCATTTTAGAGAACATTTTTACCTTAGTTTCCTTTGTTGAGTGATCACTCATACTCATAAAAATGCTTAATATTTGTATAAAATTAATGACATTTGCCTTGAAGAAAAGCATCAAAGGTTTAAGTACTTCAGTCTTATGCTCTCATGTGGACCAAGTAAATTGCTACTTCTTCCTCATGACCTTCTTTGTCACTCATTTATAAAACACTTATTGAGTCTGTATTATGTGCAGGGCACTATTTTAGGTTCTGGGGCTATAACAGTGAGAAAATTAAAGCCCTTGTCCTCATGTACCTCCAGACTGTAGTGATTAATTAGTGATGAATTTCACTCCGTGAAATTTTCACTCTGCGAAAGTAACTCTGTGGTAGCCAAACTCCAAGATGGCCTTTATGACTCACACCCTTGTACAGTCCCCTCCCATAATGAATAGCAGTCACCTAGGTAACCAATAGAGTATTGGGGAAATGATGAGTGTATCTTTTAAGGCTAGATCATCAAAGACATTGCAGCTCTCTGGGCTCATTTGCTGTGGGAAAGCCAGCTGCCTTGTGAGCCACTCATGCAGCCTTATGGGAAGGTCCATGTAGCAAGGATATGAGCTCTCCTTCCAAAACCATGTGATAAGCCATTTTCGAGGAGAATCCTCCAACTCCAGTCAAACCTTAAGATGATCGCAGTTTTGGTTGGTATCTCAAGTGAAATTTCCTGAGACACATAGAAACAAATTGTTACTGGAACCTTCATCAATGGGAGTCAGCAGCAGCAGTGGTGTTCTGATGCTCCACCACAAGTGTGTTGTTGGCAGTTGCTCCTCAGAGTCCTTTTATGTAACAGCATACTTCCTGGATTGTGGAATACACCAATCAGGTGCGAGCTATGAGCTGATTGGTGCTAAATGGTCCAGTCAGCTACAGGATTGAAAAATGGTCCAATCAGACTTGTAGGTGGGACACCCTAAAACAGCATATAAGCCAGGGTGAGAAGGAGTTGAAAGAAACACCAGCCCCTGAACAGCAGACGGTTCCAGCCCTCAAATGAGAGATGTTTCCAGCCTCCAAAAGAAGAAAAAAGGAGAAGATTCCATTCCTGGCCTCCAAAAAAGAAGAAAAGAAGCATCCATCAGCAAACCTCTGAGGAGGAAAGAAAAATCAAAGACCCCTGTCAGAGATTGGGCCTCCAGTCCTCTCTTTGACATTGCCTGAAAGGAGTACCAAAGGCCCTGGGCCTGGTGTCTCAAAGAGCTGTTTGTTATTGGTATAGCCCAATTCACTCACAAAGAGCTGTTAACACTG